TAAATAAAATAATAGCAGGAGTCACAACATGCATACAAAAAGTTTTTTTTTATATCAAATTTTAAGATTTGTGAAATGTGAAAAATAAATTAAAATATTTAATTATTGTCAATAATTAATCAACTAACGGTATTTTATTTAATTTCCAGTATGCTCAACACATTAGAGAGGTATCAGAAGTGCAACTATGGAGCACCAGACACAAATATATCCACAAGGGAGGCTTTGGTAATTAATTACTCTGCTTTTTTAACTCAATGTTTCCTTTAATAATGTGTATTTATTTATATTGGGTGATATGAACTTAAGTAGGCTAGTGTGTGTTACTAAACTTACTACACACACACACACACTTACAAAAATCAACACTTAATGATATGAAAAAATAGATTTTGCCAAATTTTGTTAGACTTGATTTAAAAATTCATAAAAAGTTTTTAAATCAAGGGTATATTATTATGAGGAATCTCATAAAATAAAATAAACTTTATCAAATAAAGGTCTTATGTCCATTATAAGGAATCTCAATATATTTTTATTTATTTCTATTTTAAAATAAAATAAAATAAATCTTTATCTCATTCTTAGGAATCTCAATAATAGACATTATCCCTCACGTTTAAGATGGTTATTTTATATTTTTAACAAAAAAATTAAAAATTAAAAATTTCTTTTCTATATTTAAATGGAAGTCCCAAAAATATAAAGGGTAGCCCGCAAGGCATAACCCACTTGGTTCCGAGCGAAAGGGGCAGATTTGCAATAAGGCACAAGGTTCGATTCCCTGCGGAATGTAGTATGGAAGTAATATTCTGAGTTTGTTTTGGGCCATACGAATATGCTCCTTGCATTTCAAGGGGATGTCCATTGGGTCCTTAATTTATCTCGCTCCCTCCACATATCTCGTCCGAGTGTGGTGTGGGAGGCCCTTGAGATTGGGAATTCAACTTTTTTGCAAAAAAAGAGGGTATTATTAAATATTAGAATACTTTTTACGCCTATTAATTGTTAACCTATCTGTCTCATCATATCTATTTAATAAAACACCCCCGGCCCTTGGCATATTATTACTATCGGAAAAAAATCGTAATTTTCTTTCTATTTAGATTTCCATGCTGATAAATACCATTCGGTCCATCATATTATTTATACTCCGTACTTATTATCTGATACTCTCTTCGACCCATGAAACCTTTTTCCTTTCTTTTTTCCGTCCCACAAAACACTTCTCATTTCTATTAAAAAGTCACTTTTACCCTTACCTTTTCATACCCTAACTATCACATCATACCTTTTTACTAATAATCTATCCATCAAATCATACTTTTACTCATCACATCAAAGGACATTTTTGGAAATTCAATACCGAAATACACTCCCCTTAAATCCCTCCTAAAAAGCAAAAGTCCCATGTTTCATGGGACGGAGGGAGTATTATATTCGATATTATTACATAAAACTTATCCTACACATTATTTAAATGGAAGTTTACTCTATTTATTTCTCAAGTGGAAAAATGTTTTAGGACAAGAGAGAATAAGTACTTCCCTGTCCTAAAATTAACTTCTCATTTCACTTTTCACGGTCTCCAATGCGACAATTTGACCATTAATATCTCAATTTTTATATAAATATATTTTATAAAAATTATATATTTCAAAACTATATTTCAAAATGAATCTATTGCTAATAAATTTATATGCAAATTCAATGTATTTTTTTCGTAATATACGGTCAAAGTTTAAAACGTTTGACTACAAAAATCAATGTAGAAAGTTAATTCTAGAACAGAGGGATCGGAGTAATAAGCATGAAATTCTTTTTTAGTCTAAGGGACAAGAGGGGGTCCCTATTTTTAAATGGTTAATGATTTGACCATTTGCAGAAAGGGTATTCTTTAAACCAAAAGTTACTAGAACTTCTCTCCAATTAAAAAATACTCCTTCCGTCCCATAAAGTGTTACCCATTTTGACTAAAGTTGAAATTAAGGGAGGGATAATTTTGTGTTGACTTTCCAAAAATACCCTTGATATGATGGGTAAAAGTAGGATGTGATGTGTAGATTATTAGGAAAAAAGGTATGATGTGATAGGTAGGGTTTGAAAAAGTAAGGGGTAAAAGTGGTTTTTTAATAGAAATGGGTAAGGGATTGTGGGACACAATCTTTTTAAAACGTGTAAATCTTTTTGGGACGGAGGGAGTAGAATGTAAATAAATGCTTCCAAGTTACTAGTAGTCTCTTATACTTCCTCAAAACACTGGAGTATGAAGATCTTAAGTTAGCTATGTGATACGAATCTTGTAATTCATACCGGGATAGGGAAAAACTTCGAGCGTCTTCGGGCTCCAAGAAAGGGGAGGCAAAGAGAGAAGGAAAACTTCGAGCGTTTCTGGGTTCCAAGAAAAGAGAGACGAGAGATTAAGAGAATTCTTAATTATTGATTGATTGAATAATAATAACGAAAGGTTACAATATATAAAGATGCATAAAACCCTAATTGACCTAATGGACTTAGGCCCATACTAAAACCCTAAATCATCAATAATAATAATACTAATAATAATAACTACTAAATAATAATATAACTAATTAAAATATTATAAGTAACTATCCGTATCACTATGTTTATATATATACTCCATCCGTTATTTTTTTCAATTTCAACAAAACACTTTTACTTTTTATTAAAAAGTCACTTTCACTTTTACTTTTTCATACCCTATATATTACATCATATTTTTTCTCTAATAATCTATCCATTACATCTTACTTTTACCTATCATATCAAGGACAAAATTAGAAGTCAACTACTCCCTCTGTTCCACAAAACTCTTCCGATTTTTTTGTTTTCCACAAAATACTTCCACTTTCCATTAAAAAACAACTTTTATCCCTATTTTTTCATACCCTACCTATTACATCATATTTTTTTCACTAATAACCAAACTATCACATCTTACTTTTTCCCATCACATCAGGGGCAAAATTGGAAAGTCAACCAAAATTTCACTTTCCTTATTTTCCCCTAAAGTCAAAACCGGAAGGGTTTTGTGAAACGGAGGGAGTACAATTTAACACTTCCTTATTTTTACACTTTGTCAAAGTAAGAACTTTTTTGGAGAACGGAGGGAGTGTGTGTGTGTATATACATACATACATACATACATACATACATACATACATACATACATACATACATACATACATATACACACACATTTTTTATAGAAGGTAGCTTAGAAGTATTTTATGAGAAGAGTGAAAAGTGAAAGTGAAGTTATATGGTCATGGATTATATGGTTGCAGGAGATTAGTAGTCAGCAAGAGTATCTCAAACTCAAAGCAAGATATGAAGCATTGCAGAGATCACAAAGGTATATTCGGCTACTCAGGAAACAGCCTACATATTTTTTATTGCATATTTGATACTCCCTCCGTCCCCAATTTGATTACGAATTGCGGGTTACGCAGTAAAATTTTCTACTTTGAATTCGTCGAGTAATCAGTCGAGCAAAGGAACGTCATTCTTTTTGAACCTTTACTGAATTCGAACGAAGAGGGAGAACTTCATTCTTTTCGAACACCCTGAACACTAATTCTTTTAGCACTCGCAAAAGAAAGAGTTGCTTGTCTTTGGGTCGGACAATTTCTTCAAGATTGATGGTTGGAATTCTTAGGCAGCAATGTTCTTCGTTGAAGCAATCCAACTGATTCTTTAGTGAGGGAGAGCTATCAAAAAAATTAAAGATTACAATATCCCACCAGTAGGCATTGAATTGTGTATGCCCACCGGTAGGGGAAAAAGCATGTTTGATGTCTCAAGAATTCAAAACCTGCTCCAACACCATGCAAAAATAATAGGAGAAGAAATCTTGTGTATATTATATTCAATGATTCTTTTGATTACAAAGGTCCAAGTCCCTTTATAGTTTATATAGGGAAAGGTACAAGTCTAAAAGGGAAATAAATTCTAAATTCTACTAGAAAATAAATTCCACAATAAGGGAAACAAATCAACTAGAACAAGGGAAGCCATCAAATCAAATCTCAAAGGAATCGGGTCTTCTTCGTTTTGTGTGTGTCGCACGTAACATGCTACAATTTAAAACTTCTTTATTTTACTACTTGGTCAAAATTAGAACTTTTTTTCAAGAACGGGGAGAGTATATCACTTCCACAAGATTTTGGTTCTTTACATTTTGAATGTTTTTAAATAACTTTGCATTGTAAATTCAATTTTAAAACATACCATTAATTAGACATTTTAGATTTACAATTTAAATGACACTATAAATTTTACCTAGTAATTAAAATCTAATACCTATATGAACCTACACCGGGATCCATGGGGTCCCGAGACCCATGAAACTCTTAGCAGATCCGCCCCTGCCACCGGGAGAGACTTCACACACACACACACACACACACACACACACACACACACACACACACATATATATATACTTCCTCCGTCCCACAAACAACTTTCCCTTTAGTTTTTTCTCCGTCCCAAAAAACACTTCTCATTTCATTTTAAAAAGTCACTTTTATCCCTATTAATTCTTAATCTACCTATCACATCACACTTTTTCTCTATTAACTTACTCATCTCATCTTACTTTATGTATCACATCAAAGGACATTTTTGGAAAGTCAACACCAAAATATACTTCCCTTAAATCCTCAAAAAGTCAAAACGAGAACTTTTTTAAGGGACGGAGGGAGTATATGAATAAGGGTAATTTATCTAAATAGGACTAAAACATAATGGTTTTCTCAATATAAGACCATATGTTTTTATTTTCCCAATGTAGCACCATTGGTCATTATCTATTAGTCAGTATTCAACTAAATGTCCAGCATCACTTGGACATTATTCTTCTCACTAGACATTATTATGTCCTAAAAAGTTCAATTCTTACATTGAGAAATAACTTATGTTTTAGTCCTATTCAATGCAAATTTCACTATGAATAACTACTAGGTAGTTCTACATAGACCCCATAAAAGACACTAAATTTTTTTTGAGACAATAATATATATAGGAATCTTCTTGGTGAGGATCTTGGGCCATTGAACAGCAAGGATCTTGAATCTCTTGAGAGGCAGCTTGACATTTCACTGAAGCATATCAGATCAACAAGGGTATATATATAAGTAGATTTATTTTTGGAGTATATATTTATATATTTGTTAATTAATATGTGTGGTATTTTAGCAGGATCATACATATATAATTAATCAAATTTAAGTTCATTCTATTTGAGAGTCATTATTATTATCATGATATATATGCATGGAGTCATCATACGTATATGTATATATTACATATTGCAGACTCAAATGATGTTAGATCAACTCACAGAACTGCAGAGAAAGGTATGAATTGAACACCCAAGGTTTAATTATGATAAACTCTCATTATGGTAATAAAGGGATTAAATTTTAATTACATATTTTGTGTATATTCTTTTAGACTAATTGAGTAAGCTAAGTGTATGTTTGTTCATCAGGAGCATGCTCTAAATGATGCCAACAAGTGCTTGAAACAAAGGGTATGTAATGCATGCATGCATCTCTGATGTGTACACATTACCATACATTAAGTTGCATATATTTACTATTTACATTATCAAACTTGATTTATTTTTTTTTCCTAAAAGATTTAATAAAAAAAATATAGTCATGTCACTCTCGATTTCGTAAAGCTTTTGATGTTATTTTTTGATATATTAAATTTATTTTTAACTCCGGTCCAATTCTAATAAATTATATTGAAAATAATTTCAGTCAGACATTGTAAACTAAAAAAGACGATTTAAATTAGTACGGACTGAGTACATCTCAAATTCTCAATGTCCCAATCCAATCCAATCCTTAATTTCATCAAATATAGGTAGCTTTTTTTTGGTACAATTTGATAATAATTTGTCTTATTGAATATTGAGAGATATGTTCCTATATATAGGGATTACAAGAGAGAGTCATATTCCTAGTAGGAAAGGAATAAAGTAATTATGGTAATACAAGAATAAGGAAACTAAATAATATTATGAGTCTTCCTATTATCCCCCCGCAAGCTGATCAACGGATACGAGGGGCAGCTTGGAACACAAATAATGGAACGGAGTCGGCGGAAGCGGTTTTGTCAAGATGTCAGCAAGCTGCTCAGAAGAAGGAACATGATGTGTAGTCATAGTTCCAGCCATAACCTCGTCTCGAACAAAGTGACAATCAGAGCCAACATGCTTCATGCGATCATGGAGAACGGGATTCTTGGTGACATAGATTGTGGACTCATTATCACAATAAATCTTAGGTTTCGTAGGCGGAACATGCAGAGAATCCATAATATAACGAAGCCACATCGCCTCAGCTTCGGTGGAGGAGCGCGAGACGCGAGTCTGTTTTTTTGTGCACCATGAGATAAGATTCGGGCCCAGCATAAGGAGATACCCAGTGGTGGAACGACGAACATCTTTGTCGTTAGCCCAGTCAGAGTCAGAATAAACAGCAAGATCAAGAAAGCCTTTTCTGAACAGAAGGCCATGAGAAGAAGTACCCTTCAAGTAGCGAAGAATACGTTTAAGGGCCAAGTAATCCTTCTCTGTAGGATTATGCATGGTCTGAGAAACTCGATTTACAGCATACTGAATATCAGGGCGAGTCACCGCAAGATAGTGTAGACCACCCACAAGGCTACGGAACAATTTTGGGTCGGAGAAGGTGGACGAGATCTCCTGGGTTGGCC